GCCTCAGCAAAATATTTTACACTGGTCCTATTACTGAAAAAGTATATAGTATTTGTGAAATATTTTGTATATTTTAAAATAATATTTTATTCTTAACTGGTTGAAGTGTCAAAAGCTTTAAAATTTAATATAAATAATATTAAACTAAAGCCTTCAGAAGAATGGAAACAAATTTCAGAGTAATGATGACATAACCATAGTTTTGCTCTGTACTAATCAAAATAAGTTAGTCAATCAGGATAGAGCTGGAACAGACGTTGGAGGTCTCCTAGTCTAGCTCAAGCAGAAGTCCCTATATCATTTCAGATAGGTGGCTTTCCAGTATTTCCTTAAAATCCTCCAAATTAATATGACATAAACAAATCATGCAAATATGCAAAAGCAGCCACTCTAAAAGAGCAATGTAAAACAAGCATATTTAAATCAATTAACTAATTTAAAAGGACTTACTGGCATCGTCATGACATCAGCTTGGGTGCAAAATACCAAGAATGGTAACTGAAAATGCTATTTCACCTGCTGAAGTAATCTTTGATTTACAACCACAATTAGAACAGGAATTTATGTTACTAAGCGATGCGATCATAATGTGTATCCTCACATGAACGCATTGCTTAGTGACAGCAATTAGTAGTCATAGTTGCTGTTGTAATTCCATACATACAGATCATTAAGCAGGAAATAGGAAGTCCCAGGTAGGGTGAGCAGGAACACCATAGGAATGGGGGAAGATAGCTGGGATACTGCAGTATGATGCAAGCTCAGGGAGGCTGGACAAAGAAGATGTTGAATCCATGCCTGTGTTCCAGTGCAGGAAGGCTGGAAAAAGACTATGTTGCTACTCATTGGTTTCTTGGCATACTGCAGCTCTCTAGTTCTCAGAAGAGCCCCTGAACTGCAGCATAATATGAAGCCTAGCCCCAGCCTGATCCAGCAATGTGGCCAAAGGAGCTTCTGGAAAGTGCACCACTTCCAGCCTAGACCCAGCTGTCTTTACCACCTTGTACTCCAAGTGCCCTACTGCACTCCACTGCCCCAACTGACCTTTTGCCATTCCTTGCTTCTTCTGTTGACGAGGTGTACCTGGCTTCATCCTTTATGAAGCAGCTGCTGGCCAGATAAAGGCTATCTTTTCCAGGCCCTGCAACAACACTACTGTGTAAGATCTAGGGAAGAAAGCCTTCTGCGAAGGGCCAGGCCAGGCATGCTTCATTAGCAGCTGCAAGCAAGAAGGCAGCAAATATCAACTTAGGGTTGTAGAGCTCTGAAGTGCAGGGCACAGATGGAGGAAAGTAGGAAGTGGGGATAGTTAACCAGTGTCATTGGCATGACCGTGGGGTTGTTGCAACAACTATAACTTGGAGACTAGTCATAAGTCCCTAGTTCAACACCATCATAACTTTGATCAGACACTGACTAAATGGTCATAGACCAAGGATTATCTATAGAAAGAGAATGGCTTTTCAGTATGCAGCCACACATATTGAAGGAGAAAGGTGCAGAGAGAGAGAGAGAGAGCCCTTTTGGTTGCTCAGAATCAAGCTATCACAGTCCTTTGAAAGAGAAGAACATGTTACTTTGATTTTATTCTAAAATAGTTGGAGTCAGCATAGCACAAAATGAATGTGTGTTTTGCCTGGATACTCTTTTATAGAGTCTTGCATTATAATCCTGACAATATTTTTTTTTGTCTGGGCTTTTTTGACTCTCTCTTCAGTCATGTCGGTGGAAACAAATTGAATTGGGAAAAAATAGGAACTCAGTCAGAAAATCAAGCATGTGGGGATCCAGGACACCAATCAAAGGTAGTGTTTTGAACAATATTAACTTTGTGTATATGTTTTAATGATTATTTGGTAGCGGACACAGAATCATCTAAAAGATGAACCCATCATTTTTCCTGGATGATACAAATTGAGCTCCATCCACTGACCAGTGAAGCAATGTTTTCGCTTTCTTCTGTACAAGAAAAAAATATTCTCTGACTGCTATTTGACTAGAGCAGAAGAAAAGTAGTCACTAGTGTCCACAAATGCTTAGAAGGCTGGGCAGGTTGTAATCTAAAACTGCCAATGAAGTAGTTTTATTAATGAGAGAGTTTTCTATGCTTACTGGTGTAGAACTGTTGTATTTATTTCTCAGTAAAAACATGAATTACGTTACCTGAGGTAGGGAACAATCAGATTGCATCTAAGTGATATACTTTGCTGTGCATAATAATGAATGTAATTTTAGGAGAGGTGAAGAATAGACTTGAGATTCTGATACTTATTTATTCTTTATGGCATCAAACAAATAACTGCAGTATGTAACCAGATTTATTTTTATTTTCCTACTGAGAATAATGTTTATCGTGGCAAGGGCACAAATAGAAAAACAAAGTACGATAAGTTTATTCAAAAACTGTAATAAACTAGTTTTCTTTAAAATTTGGCTTATCTAAGAATACTACTTTATATAATTGAATCTTGTTAAGTGTCCCATTTTAGCTGTTCCTGCTAAAGAATATGACTGATACAAGGTTTTAAAATCAGTTTGTACTGATAAGAAAATCACCTAGCCAAAATATCTTTTTTTTTTTTAAAAAAAAAAGGAAGGCTTAGTCTAGAAAGGTTGATTTATATATGATTCACATATAGAAATACTCATCATCATCCCTGGCAATTACACTGTCCTAAATCAAAGAGGAGGCACCCGGCTTTAGTTTTTCTTTTCTCTCATATCCTTGTTCCTCCTCAAGTGTATATTGTAATGGTTCAAACTGATCACTTTAAATCTAGTGTTGAAAAATGTGCAGTGCATAATGCAAAAATGTGCACTAATGCAAAAAACAAACAAACCCTGACCTCACCTTACACAGTGGGTTGTCAAGGTTTTTAGCATCTGTCTAACATCAAGATTTCCTCCATTGGCAGGGGAGCTGCTATCCCCACTTCTTTAATCCATAAGTTGGTTCAGTCAGTAGAAAAATATATGACTTCTTAAATAGTAAATAAAGAATGCAGAATAAAAGTAATACCCTGTTTCCCTAAAAATAAGATCTAAACGAATAATAAGTGCAATCGGGCTTTTGAGCGCATGTGCTAAAATAAGCCCTCCCCTAAAATATTTAAACACATGCGCAGCCGGTCCCCACCATTTCCTGGGGGAGAGAGAGCAACATGTCCCACAGAACCTGTCTTCCATGCGGAATGGCCTCATGGAGGCAGCTCCTGCAAACTCTAGCTACCCCCTCCCCCCAGTCTTAGTGGTTGCCACAAAAAGAGCAGCAGACCCAGTGACACTAGGCCTGGCAAGAATGTGCCAGAAACAGAGACAGAACTTCTTGCCCTCTCTGGATCAGCTGATCTGTGGGCCACGGGCTGAGGTTAAAGGACCTCCTGCACCTCAGAAATAACAAGACCTCAAAAATAAGGCCAAGCACTTATTTCGGGAGTCAAAAGAAAATAAGATCCTGTCTTATTTTCGGTAAAGTACGGTAATGCTTNTTTTTCAATATTTTATTTGTTTTCAGCACACCAAAATACATGGAAATTAGATGAAAATAATCAAACAGCTTTTTAGTCGCAGACCTGTGAAATCCAGTCATATCTTGGGCTCCTTGAGGAGTCTGAATAGTGGATCATCCATCAGATGTACTAAGTGACAGCTCCTCTGATTTTTAATTGAGAAAAAGAGAGAAATAATTGTGTTTGTCTAGAAAGCTACCCCAATTTCCTTTTATAATAACAGTCTCATAAAAAATGTGAAGACATGCATTATGTTTATTAATATTACTAAATATTGTACTTAAGATGACAAAAAAGGATATGATGCAATTTTTACTGCAGATATTTGCTATTCTGTTGGTTGGATAGTGATTTGCATCATTAATTTCCCTAATATGTCTGTACAAGCTTTTTCTACAATGAAATCAAATTGATTTTTTTTCTTGCCTACTAAGGCATTCTTGCATTTTTCCTTGCCTTTGGGATATTTTCTTCTCCAGCTTTATCATGGTAGCAGTGCTATAGCTAAACTAATCACATCACTCAATGTTCAGGTTTGTCAGTAATTGGGGCAAATTTTATTCTTTTAAAAGAGGCAAGAGACGTGCTATATTTCAATAACTAAAGCAAGCATGGGTGACTTTTCAGTATCTACAGACTGCAGGTATCATTTGGAGAGAATCAAGTGCTGCAGAGAACAACATTGCAGATATAGATGTAACTTGTGGGGGATGTCATTTTTTAACTCTAATTTGTTTATTTTTGAGACGTTGGTTTTCAGCTGCGATGGTGAAAGTGGGCTTGGGTGGGTACAAAAACTGAGTTTGGAAGCTTCATGCAGCCCCAATACTGCAGACTATCTATCTTTAAATAACTTAGGGCTTTGTGATGGGTGAGGGACAAGCATTTCTTCTTAAAGTCAAGTCTTGTGGAGGATTGGCAGGAGAGAGTGGGGGGAGGAGAGAGAGAGAGATATCCTAATAACATGCATTGCTATTTTAGATATCTGTGCAAATGTCTCTTTTGGGCTAGTGATGGGAGAAAGTTAGAGGCTCTGTTAAGTCAGGTATAACTCCACAGATACATCCATGTACTTTTTTTGGCCATATTGAAATCCATAATGTCTTCCATAGTTTTTCCCAGCATGCCTTATAGCTCTGGTATAGTTTTCCTCTATCTAGGTACTAACCAATTTGATTCTGCTTAGCTTGGGTGAGATGTGGAAATGGCTAAATGCTGTGAGTATTAATATACAATTTCCAATTCATGTGCACTCACAGATTTCTGTGGTATTTCTCACTAATATGCAGAGAATATCTAAGCAAACTATGATTTATGGGCTGTTTCACAGACTTCTAAACAAGACTAATTACTTAACAGCAATGACTGCAAAAATTCATGCCTATATCTTTTAAAAAGTATTATTTAAATCTATTTTAACACTTTGTCTATAGTTTAATTGGATCTTTGTATATACTTTAACCAATAAAGTTCTACACTTTTGTTTTTAAGATTGAAAACCTAGATCCTCGAGGAATTCAGCTCTCGGCATTATTCATGAGTGGTGTTGATATGGCATTGTTTGCCAATGATGCTTGTGGGCAGCCAATTCCATGGGAGCATTGTTGTCCATGGATGTACTTTGATGGGAAGTTGTTCCAGACGAAGCTCATCAAAGCAAGTCGGGAGAAAGCTCCCCTCATTGACCTCTGTGATGGTCAGGTAATGTTGGTCCTGCGATGGGTGCGATGTCTAATTGAATGTGTATGTATATGGACAAATAGATAGTCAATATAATTGTTTTTGGTAATGAGCTCAAATTCTTTTGTAGACAGAGGATTTTAGCCTAAGGGCAAATATATAATTAAACTTATAATAGAATGTATTATTTATCTGATAGGTTGTATCGTGCTAAAAGCTTTCTTGAATGTTGATTGCTCTAAGTATGTCTGTTTGCAAGTAAAGAAGTTAATCCTTGATTGTTCAAATCCTTAAAATGATGATAATTATTTTGTGCTGCAGTAATTTGAGTTGATTTGGAATATTGTTTTTTTTTATTATACTTCCATATAAATGGCCACCCATCTCAAATTCATGATTCTGCATGCTAACAAAAATTAATTTGTAGTAATTTGGTATAGGGTATGGACATATATAGGTGATCTGTGACACATTCAAATTTTATATTTTCTTACTTTTTATCACATAAGTGATCCAGAATCTGCTCTTTCTTTTTTGTTAACTAGGAAAACAGATGGATTTTTCACATCTAGGAGACCCTGCCTTTCTTTGACGTTGCTGTATAACTAAAATTCAAATAATCCAAACTTTGTATACACCATTTTGAAAGATTTTTAAAGCTTTCAAATCACTCTGGGTATTCTGACAAACTGTATTTTCCAAAACATAAACAATGAACAGAGGATATACTGTTTTCAATATTTTGTTAAGAAAATAAAACATTATAGGAAACACAATTTTATCTTACAGGGAGATAATTTGTTGATGTCTTGATTTTCTGACCCTTACTGCTTGCAAATACCATCAATTACCTGGCTAGCTGTCTTCAATAATGTCATTTAGAAATGTATGAATATACTTGATTTGTGTTCATAATATAAATATGTTGTGCATATTGTTTGTTGTAGGCTGAACAAGCTGCCAAGGTAGAAAAGATGCGCCAGAGCATCCTTGAAGGTTTAAATTTCTCCAGGCAAAACCATCCACTCCCTTTCCCACCACCACCTGCCATGCCTTTCTATCCAGCTTCTGTTTATCCTCGGCACTTTGGGCCAGTTCCACCTCAGGGCAGAGGCAGAGGCTTCGCTGGTAAGATTGCTTCACTGTTAAATAGTTAATCCAATATAAATTAATGAGAGATTGTATTAGCACCTTTGTGTAGGAACCATGTATTAGTGAATGTATCAGACTACACGAGTGAGATTCAGGTTCACATCTCAGACCAACCTAACTCATAATTTTGAGGTAAAAATAGAAGGAAAAACTCTACATATATCACTTACAGCTCCTAATGGAATGGTGGATATTAGTCAAGCAGATCAATGCAAATTAAGGCAATAAACTGGCAAAAATAGTTATCAACTAAAATTTACCCTGAAAAGCTGTTTATACAAAGAGACTTATAACTAGATAATAGCCAAATTTAAATATGTAATTCAATTACATATTTAATTATATATATAATTGTATATTTACACAGAGATAAACAATATTTATACACCATTCAAAGGAGTTGGTAAAAAAGCTAAAAAGGAAACAAAAATTATACACACTCGTATATAAATAAAGACAGCATCTCTCCGAACGATGCTACAGAGAGAGAGAGAGATTGAGATTGATTAACAGGAAATCAATATCAGTGACTAATACCCTAGTCATTTCTCTTGGATTATTGCAAGCATTCTACATGAGGCTACCTTTGAAAAGAATCTGGAAGCTTCAGATAGTATAAAATATGGCTACACAGACAATCTTGGGTGCCCAAATAGTGGCGCATGTAACATCTCTGCTGCACAAACTGGGTTGGCTGCTGGTATCCATCTGGTCCAATTCAAGGTGTTGGTTATGTCTTATAAAGCCCTATATGGGATGGGGCCAGGTTACCTTTGTAACCGTTTTGGTCCCATTATATCAGCCTGCCCCATCTAGTCAGGGAAGGAAGGTATGTTGCAGACCCCAACAGCCAGGTAGTCCTTGACTACGACCATAATAAAGTCTGCCCATTACAGTCATACCTAAAATTGTCATAAAGCAATATTAGTCTGGGAATTAATTCTTAAAGAGAGTCTATCCTTTTCCTTTTCACAGGAGTCTATGGCTTTGGGGGCCCTTATGGGGAAACGGTTGCAGCTGGCGCGTATCGGACCTTCCGAATGACTGCCACAGGAGGACACTCTGGACCTTTCCCTGGCAACGATGGCAACAGGACTAGCAAGTTTCAGGGCGGTAATACCACCAATCCCCTTTTCTTATTGCTCACAACAGCAGTGCATTGACTGGAACTTTCCAACATTCATTGTATGAGTTTGTCTTTCTAAAATAAAGCACATACTTTAAAGAAAGAGTTCTCCCATTTTCTTCAGTGTATGTATGTGAAAAGATAGAATAGGAAATTCCTATATTTGAATTACTTTTCACAGATTGCTATGTGGTCTCTAAATCAAAGATCTATTTAATGTCCCTTAAAGTTAAGGTTGTCCTCAGACTAAGCTCAGGCCCTGGTGATTACAGCCATGTAGTAGCCTTGCTTAGCTTTTGAAATTAAGTTGGCTAGATGCTGTACTTGCTATTTATTCCTTAGTAGCCTAATGTAGCAGCTAATGTGTTGTTACCAGATAATAAAATAGAAAAAAAGAATTAAATTCTGTGACTATATTAACATTGCAGTCATTAGTACATTTACATTTATATTACTTCTGATTCTAACTACTTTTAACCTTTTTGCCATTAGCTCAAGTTAGTGTTGTATAGCTAATGTTCCTTCCTTAGATCATTGGAAATGCTTGTTTGAAAGTAAAATAGAAATTGTAATAATACCAGTAGATACAAATGTTCAAATTTAAAATTAGATGCATTTTGAAAGAAAAGCTTTTTGAAAGTTTTAGAATGCATGTATACCTTGTTTCAGTATTTTTAATATTAGTTAATGCAGCTTTCCTTTTTTTTGTAAATGTTAAACATTTGAGATACTCAGAGCATTGGGGGGTTTTCAAGTTCTTCAAAAGGAAAGTTTGAAACAACTGGATTAAACATCCAAATATTTTCTTTGAAATATCAAGTCTATTCTGGCTATGTTAGCAGTCCCCTAGTTATTCGCTTACATGCCAGCAAATCCCAAACTACTCCTTATTGACAAGAGGATGGGGGTTGTGGAAGCAACGTTTCTGTTGGACAGGAAGGTTTTGTCTTCAGAAAAGGTCACGTAGAAGTAGTTTACCCAAGTGTAATTTCAAAATGATAAATTTACATTGTACCCTCTTCATTTCACAAAAATGAATGAACTGGATTTTGTTTGTGCTTGCTCTGCCATTGATTTCAGTAGCCTTAAATCCTACTTTGAAACAAAGGCTATACAGGTATGTGCCACTCTTAAAAAGAAAAAGTAATTTTTCAGAGATAATAACATTCCTTCATTTAAATTCCTATAGCAGAATAACACATTTTTAAATCTTGGTTTAGGTGTCCAACCCATTCCTTCTCAGGGAGGGAAGCTTGAAATAGCTGGCACTGTGGTGGGCCACTGGGCTGGAAGCAGGCGTGGTCGAGGAGGAAGCAGGGGGCCATTTCCTCTGCAGGTGGTTTCTGTTGGAGGGCCAAGAGGGTAAGCAAATACCAACATTGCAATTATGTTTGGATTAATTAAAAGAGATGCCTGCTGGATTTTGACTTGATTATGACACAGCAGTGGTGATTGTATAGTTTGGAGTGTATTGGCTCAGCTCTTTATTTTGTTAGAATGTAAATGTAAAGACTGATTAATTTTATTTATCAAATTTTTATACTGCCCATCACACTTGTATTGCTTTGGGCAGTTTGCAAGGTGTGGTGTTGATTGCTATAAAATATTATTGGTTTCAAAGTATCGTTATATACAAATATTTAAAGACAAAAGGCAGTCTAATGTAGAGATAATTCTAAAAATTAATATTTCATGCTAAATAATGAGAAGATGTAAACTGATCTATACATTTATGGTGAATGTAGAACCCAACCCAGACACATTCTAGCGAATTCAGATTCTCAGTCCACATCCCTGTGAGCAGGGACTTGCTTCTTGTCACATACAAAGTAGATCAATCCCTTCTGTATATAGACAAGAATTTTTTTTTGTAAAAATGAGCACAGAAGGTGGGCATAGAACATGATATCCTATGTTCTTAGAACTTAATTAATTAATGTTGGAATCTCCAAGAGCTGCACAAGTCCAAAACGTATGTGGTCAGGAATTTGTGGTAGGTGGGTTTTTTTTTCTGAAGAATTTATCATGTTCAGTATGATCCAACATGCATATTTCAAGCTAATTTAACTTTTTCATTTAGAATTTTATGTAGAATTATATTGTGATTCATAATATTTAGGCAGAGACTTCTTCATCTATAGCCATGATGGCGAACCTATGGCACGCGTGCCAGAGGTGGCACACAGAGCCGTCTCTGTGAGCATGTGCAACATCTCCAGCTGCTCTTCCGGGTTCTGTCATGTACATGTGTGCCGGATAGCTAGTCTGGTGTGCATGGACGCAGCGGCCAGCTGCTCTTCCGGGTTCCGGCGCATGCACTCCAGTTTTGGCATTCGGTGCCGAAAAGGTTAGCCATCACTGATCTATAGCATATCATCACTTTAGGTTCTCTAGAGAACATCATGACTGTTATGCGACATGGTTAGGAGGTGACATGATTGTAACTTTGGGATTTTGACTTTCTAATTATAAGAAGCGCCGCACAGGTAGGATGAGCTTTGTCTCTCACAGCTTACCAGGCTAGACATGGATAGCAAGTATGGTAGTCCCAAAAAATAGTGGTTGGCACCTAAAAAACCACTACCTCAAAGAAGGTATACAAGAGATAGGGTTAGGGTATGAAGAGCCTTTTGGATTGAAGGTTGGTACACCTTGCTTTTCACCCTGTAATGTCTCATTACATTGGACTACTGTACCAAAAAGAATGTTTCGCAGTGGCCTAGTCACTTTCAAAGCCTTTCACGGCTTGGAACCAGGAAACTTACAGGACCATCTCTGCCCAGTTGTTTCTCCCCATGCTGTCTGATCCATGTGGGGGAAGCAGATTCCCAATCCTTTCTGCTAAGGCACATTGTGTGTCACAGCTCAGGTGGAGAGCCTTTTCTGCTGTATCACCTGCCCTCTGGAATGCTGTTCTTCCAGAGAGAGGTTGTCCTGATTTTACTGGCTTTCTGCAAGGCCTTAGAAACCCAGTTCCATCTCAAGCCTGGGGCCCTGACTGGTGACAGTGCCATTTCCTGGTTGTGTTAATTATATGATCTTTAAAAAAAATATTTCCTGCTTTTAATGTGATACTTGTATGTAGTTTTATTATTATTCATTGGACAGTTACATATTTGAGATCTGCAGCCATGTAAATCTAATAAATAACTAAAAATATATTGCATTTTAATTAGAAAATTAATGCTACAATAATTAGGAAATTAACCCTACTGCAGTTGGAAAAATACGTCAACACTAGGGTGAAATTGTAAAAATAGAATGGCAATTAAGAATCAATAAAGAAGTACAATTGAATCTATTCATAGAAAGTTTCTTCAACTCTATAAGGTTGCTTAAGAACATGTTCTAGCAATGAGGATAATTTTATTCCGGTATAAATTATAGTACCAATGACTATTCAAATAATCATAAACTATTCTCTTGCTAGGTTAATTAGCTGATAAGTTGGAAATGCATAATGTAAGGAGAAAAATATTGCAAAGCTAAAATTCAATCTAATAAAATAATGTTTTAGTTGCTTTCTAAAAATAAGAAAAACAATTGCTTTTTGGTTTTGCATGGGAAATTTCCAGATCTGTTGTATTTTCAGATACATTTATGAAATTACATGTGTTTACCTTTTTCTGGTTCTATAAAGACGTCCTAGAGGAGTTATTTCCACACCAGTGATAAGAACATTTGGCCGAGGAGGAAGATACTATGGGAGAGCTTATAAGAACCAGGGAGTTATTCAGGTAATGGAAACAAAATCAGATATCAGCTCTTTTTGTTAATGTACATAGGTTAATGTTGCATTGGGATTGTGTTTTAGGTGCATTAGGCTAAACAGAAGGTTAACAAATTCATTTTCCTTGTTGTTTTTGTTAAAGAATAAAAAAAAACCGTGCCAAATTGTTAAGTGAGACCAATGTCCTGCTTAGTATTTTATTTCCATAGAAAGCAGTTAGATAAACCAGCACATTCTCCACTCTGTATAGTATAGTAATATACTATAATATATAATAATTGTTTAAATAACTTTGTTTTACAAACAATGATATTGTATTATCAGCTATTAAGCCAGTTAATACCCCTGACTATGTGGATTGCAAATAACTAGCTAGCAAATGCCAGTTTTTTAATCAATATTTCCGAGACTGAAAAGTGCTCTTAGTCTTGCAGGCATCATATTCTGTGTAAAAAAATCCAAAGAAATGCTGAATTTCAGTAATTTTCCTAAGCTGGTAACTCTTTCAGTTGTGTTCCTAACTAATTTCATTATTTCTTTTTTATTACTATTTTGTTTTTATGTTTAAAAAACAGGGCAAACCTCCTTATGCTGCTTCAGCAGAGGAAGTGGCCAAAGAACTTAAATCAAAATCAGAGGAAGGCAAGTCCTCTATTGTGTCTTCAGAAGGATCCCTGGCTGAAAATGGCATAATGAATGAGGAGAAACCAGCTTCCCATATGAATGGGAGTACAGCAGATGTCAGGGCTTCCAACCAGTCTGAAAGTGCCTTGAGTAATGACTCTAAAATGTGCAATACAAATCCTCACTTAAATGCACTAAATGCAGACAGTGTTTGCCATAAAGATGATGCTCTTGAGGCTACTGTCTTAAAAAAAGAAGAGTAAACTTATTTTTTATAGAGGGTGAAGGATGTTGGAAGGGTCAGGATTAGGAATATCTGGAAAGAAAGAGAGCCTACAGTTACGTACATTTTTTCCTTTCCGTAAGAGAAAAATGAGGACTTGGAAATTTGGATCCCTCTTGGATGTCAGAGATTTAAAGAACACATTTTTAGTTTTAACCAGTTGTAGTCAAAATGCTACAATACAATAAAAATGAAAGAGAATGAAGAGCATTTGACTCCCGCACTTAAAATGATGTATACACAAAGTTTAAACTGGTTATGACAAAAGCTTGTAGTTTTTGTTTCTTGAAATATATTAAAAAGGAAAAGAAAAACAAATTTTGGCAGTCTTTCAGTATATATAGCTTAAAATATAATTTTTAGTACTTGGCACCATATGTATGCCATTATATTTGATTTTGCATTACTGTGTCACAAAGCTTTCCTTAAGGCTTTGATTTCATGATTATGGGGGGGAAAGGCACAACCACAGTTCTTTCTTTTCTTAAATTTCATCACCGTTGATGTGGTTTCTTTTTATGTTTAAAATGTGCAAACTATCAAAATCGAAAAAAAATTATAGAGTAATATTGGAGTTCTGATTATTTTAAATATACATCATAATACTTTACAAGCAAGTTAAAATGGATTTAACTTGAAAATCATAGAAGATGCAAATGACCTTTTCAAAAGAAACACAATGTGTTCTGATACTTTTTGTGACTAATACCATGCATCTGTGATCAATGAACTATGTGGTTTTTGAATCAGACGTAGACCATTAGTACTACTATTTGAGCTAAACTTCTGCATGGTTCATAATTTTAAAGTGTGTAGTTAATATTATGCATGTTCTTGTTCTCTTTCTTCCATTCTTACAAGTACTGTGCCCATTTGCAAAACAAAAAAAGCTAATAATCAGTAATAGTCCTATAAAAGATGTTAACTATGTTTAGTCATTGACTGATCTTGCTCTAACCTTAAAATTTTGTGATTATTGACCTCTGTTGCATTTATTCTAAAACAAAAAAAAATTATCTAGCCGTTTTGAATATCAACGTTTCCCTGGTGTACTCATTGCTGTATGCATTATTGTTCTCTGTTGCTGTTTTATGCCTTCATATTAGCAAATATGAAATTCTGTGGAAAAACACAAAAAAAAGCTTTGATCTTCAAGAAATACCCCCCTTCTGTAGCAGGAAACAAATGGCTTGTTCTTGAGAACTTTCCCATCAAGAATTTAGTATAAGCAAATATACCTGTATCATTTTGATGTTTTTGTTAGTGTTTCCAAACTTAATGTACTTCAGAATCAGAATCATTTCTTTATATTCGTTTTCATATAATTCTCCTGATGCTCTTCATCACACATTAGTGATCAGAAATGAGGTGTAATTCCCTATTCCCTGCCCGCAAGAGCTAAGTAGGTATCTTAATGTAAGTTGAAGGGAGTTCTGCCCCAACTCATGGATTGTGCAAGAATGAACTACTGTTGGGTTTGATTGGTTGTAGATGGATTGTGGTGTGGTGTATTTGAAGGCTATTGAATGCAACTTACAATGCTTAATAAAAATCTTTATTCTTTTAGTATAACCTTGTTGTATGGTGTCTTACTTGTGTTCCCAATAATTTTCTTTTCTTTTTTCCCCATACAAATTTGAAGTCTTCAAACATCAGCAATTTTAGTAGTTGATGATGAGCTCTAGAAATAAAGATGGTAATGACGACAAGGTAGAGCCATGTTGAGCAGATGTTAATTTTTTTCAGCTTCCAGGATGCCAATTGCAGCTGATGGGTTTTTGTCTTGAGAGCAGACATGGTGGGTGGTCATCAATATGCCACCTCTTTGGTGTTTTGTGTAAATAATAAAAGTTCCTGTTGCAGCATAATTGCCTCCTTTTATTTTGCCATCCTTCAAAGCAAAAGATTGGAGTTACAATTTTGTAAAATTCTTGAATTCCCTGGAACATAAAAATGAATTCCACATTACCTCTCTACTATTAAAATTCAGAACACTGGGAAATCTAATAAATCTTGCTATTTTGAGTTCCATAATGTGCCATAAAGCATCTTACTGACAGCAACCAGTGATTTTGAGAGAACATGTATGGGCACAATTTGCAATGGAACCCAAGCTAAACAAACCTTCAATTTCTTGTTCCATTGTGGACAACAACCTCGGTGCTCCTATTATAGAATTATTATGAATAGCAAAGCTATGGCATTCTCAACAGAAACCAAGAAAGGACTTCTACAACTCAAACCTAAAATGCAACTTTCCTAATGAATGGTTTTCAATGAAACAAGGCTAACCTGCAACCATTCTAGGTAGGGAAGATTGCCTCCTGATTTTTTAGTTTCCCATCTTGTGTTGAGCTCATTTTGGGAAGAGGATAACATCTTAAATCTGCATAGGGTTGGGACAGAAAATGCATTTTATTACTCAGCAGTAACTGCCATTTTCAAAGGGAGGTGTTCACCTTGGGTATGCCAGCAGTTTTAACTAATATGGTGCCTCATAGTGAGAATTTCATCATTGTCAAAAGAAGACAGCTGTTTCTTTAGATTGTCTGGAATTGGTCTAATTTCTGTCACTTTTCTACTTTTTTGAGGCTGATAGGAAAAAACAGGATAGAATCAGAATAGATTGTAATACATACAGTGCATTTCTGTTTTCTGGTTCTTGCTGGAGAAAAACAGGAAGGGAAAGACTGCTAAAGATAGTGAAGCATCTATTCCCATAGTCTTTGTATTGTTTCTGATCTGCAGTTGTGTATTTTGTCCCATCTTTCTATCTCTTGCATTGTCCCCAAATTGTTACTGTTAGCATGTATGCATTCAGTTTAAACATTAATAGCTATTTTTGTGCTGACTATGCCAAACTAGAACAGTCTAGTTTCTACAGCAGTCATACTATTTTTGTCTCTTGCTTCAAACTGCACTAACCATCTGATGCAGATTTGTGGGGTGGTACTGCAAGGTGAAGGAGAATCCATTCCTTTTCTTTCTACCATTCTGGTTGTAGACAAGCAGCACCAAATGCTGCCTAGTGAATTAACAACAACCTGCTTACAAATACTCTAGAGCAGATAGATTCATTATAATAATAGAATAAGAAATCCTAAAATTTGCTCAGGTCTTTCAGGCAAATTCTTAGTTAAGTGTTACTAGATAGCTATCTAAATTTCTACTTGAACATATCCAGTGAGACCCACATTTTAATCTCTTGGCTAATTTTATTGTCGAATTATTACTACATTAACTTGGAATCCGCTCTCCTGTAACTGAAAATAAGTCATTCAGGCCTTAGTCATCTCACAGTTAGACTACTGTAATGCGCTCTAGCCATGAAGAACATTTGGAAGTTACAACTGGTGCAATGTGCCACAACGCAGGCAGTTCTTGGGACCCAAAGAATGGCCCATGTAACACCACTGCTCCGCAAACTGCATTGACTGCCAGTCTGCTTCCGGTGGAATTCAAGGTGTTAGTAGTAATTTTTAAAGCCGTTCATGACGTGTCCAGGCTACCTGAGGGACTACCCATGTCAGCAGAAGAGGCATGCTGCAGGCCTTTGATTATTCCAGCTGGCGGAGTCCAGGAGAAGGGCCTTCTCTGCCATTGTACCTGCCCTCTGCAGCATCTTGTCCCCTGGAGTAAGGTTGGCTCCAATCCTTCTGACTTTCTTAAGAGCTTGGGGTTCCAATGTGGGAACATCACAAAGGAGGTGATCAAATAACAGATCCCACCTCCACACATCCTGCCCCCGCTCTCTCTATCTTCAATTGGATCATAGCATTTGGCTTGGTTTTTTTTTTAGTATTTACTGTACATTTATATTTTACATGATTGCAAACCATCCAGAGTTACTCTGTGGTAAGATGGATGGCCAATAAATTTTATAAATGAAAATTAAATAAAAGATTCACTGTTTTGCCCTCTAGAATGATGGAAAGGGAAGGTTTCAATGATATACATTGCTAAAACATTTCAGCACCCACCCATCCTTTGGAGTTCTTTGTAATTGTTGCTTTAGTATTTACTGTTACCTTAATTTCCTTTTACCATTGTCCTGTCATGGAATCTCCTCATTGCTCTTTTGAAAGTAAAAAAAAAAAATCCAATTCAAAAAAACCCAATTCAATCACACTCCAACTTACTTCCCCTTAAAAGTCAAGGATTCCAGCATTACATGGTCATTTTTCTCCAATATTCCTGTTAGTTTTATATCCTCAACTAAGTCTTCGTGGATTACAGCCTTGTCATGGCGAAGGGGCTTGCGTAGCTCAATGAAGCTATGAGCTATGCCATGCAGGGCCATTCAAGACGGACAGGTCATAGCAGAGAGCTCTGACAAAATGATCCACTGGAGAAGGAAATGGCAACCCACTCCAGTATCTTTGCCATGAAAACCCCATGGACACTACCAAAAGGCAAAAAAGGCCTGGTGGAACATTGTCCATGGGGTCGCAATGGGTCGGNCAGGGAAAAGGGCGGCCTATAAATAAACTTAACCTAAACCTAAACCTAAACAGCTTCAGCAGCATTTGTTCTAAAAAGAAATATAAAATAAATGCAACATTTAATATTTTCTTTCCACACTAAAGTTCACCTTTAGCCTTATTATGTAAAATTCATTTACCTTCTCACAGCCAGTCATAATGAAATCATTACTGGTTTTTTTTAATAATATACCCATCAATGTCTAGTAAGGTATAGAGTAGAAATTCTGTCACCCCTATCATATTACATTAAAAGGGTGACACTGTCTTATAGATTATTTATTGGATTAATACATATGAATTAATAAACTTAACCCAAAGAAAGAAAATGGGAGGTGAGAGAGTGAGAGAGTATCCATTTTATCAATGAAAGTCTTTGTCATTAAAATGATAAGACAGGGCACCAAGAATGATTATCCCCTTAAGTCATAAATTACCAATTGACATCTACAGCCTAGGGTTAGAATAGAGAGATTCCCACTATTAGTCAATTCTGATCATGATGTCAGTAAATCTAGAATTCTGCTAGGCACCAAATCAGTGACACTACTGGAAAACTACGATGAAGCCATCCATCAGAAATCTTCGATCAAATCCCTGTGAATCCAGGAGGAATTTATGTGCTCTTATTCCTGGGAGAGTTACTTTTAAGAGCACCATAACTGTTAGGCTTTACTCTATCAAATAAAACATCCCCTGCAGTTCTGCAGTGTAATGTTTACTACCAATAAAAACACCCAAGCTAACATGTTTAGCTTAAGGGTGGGAGGACAACTGATGTATATGCATTTTAGAAATCATAAATTTGCAACGTTGAGAAAAAGACGTATTGCGCAACCAGTTAGGAAGCAGGTCAGAAAATTGCATGTAATACAGTTGTATTGTAATATGATTTCTCAACATTTGCATCAGATAGGGCAATGATGGTTAACCTTTTTGGTAAATGTATCCCTAACCGCAAAATGGCATGTGAGTGGCCCCCATGCATTCACTCCATCTGTGCATGCACCCTGCCTGGCATGCATGCATAGCCCCCCCCCTTGCCCATTTTTGCTACCAGGTTCGTGCAGGAGGCCTTCCAGGCCCAAAACGGGGTGTGTCAGGCACGCATGCATGCAAATCCCAAAAATGCAATGTGAGTGCCCCACACATATGTGCCCCACCCCTGCGCATGCACACTCGCATTCCCCCCAGGCACCCTGCCACCCGTGCATGCACGACAGAGACCTAAAGAACAGCTGGCTGGCAGGAGGTGCATGCACTTCTGTGGTGGAGCTGGTCTGGGGTGATGGTTGGTGTGCCCGCAGAGATGGCTCTGCATGCCATAGATTTGCCATTATGGAGATAGGGTATTATTAAAGATAAAAAATCAAACATATAGAAGAATGAATTTTACTGAAGAATAACTAAAATGGCTTCTTCAAAAGAAGTGGTTCACTTACTCTTTTGTATTTCTTTTGGGGTAATCAACAGAGAGATGAAAAAAGGGAGGGCACATGAACTTTTAAATAGGTTTTTTTTGCAATGCCTCTCAATAAACCTTCACTGTCAATAGTCAACACCCCTTGGAATNCAGAGTTCCTGAGTCAATATGACTAGAGGAGGAATTCTGGGAGTTGAAGTCCACAAGTCTTAAAGCTGTCAAGTGTGAACACCCCTCGGGTTTTTTTCTAAAGGGTTAGGGGTGCAAGGGTCTTGTAACTTGACAGCTTTAAGACTTGCATGCTTCAAATGCCAGAGTTTCTGAGCCAACATTTTGGTTGCTAAGCAAGAGCGTTGTTAAATGAGTTTCACCACATTTTACAAGGTGGCAATGCCAACCCAGTCGCATGACTTCCAAGCCACGCCCACCCAGTCACATGGCTGGCAAGCCTCTCCCACAAATCAGGCCACACCTACAGAAGAGGTTCTAAAAAAAATTGAAACCCACCACTGGCATGCACTCATATAGCTCATCTCTTAACTTCAAGTAGAAATGGAGTATCTTTGGAAATTTCTGCTGATGTTTTCAGCATCAGACTGACTGCTGTTAAAAGGAACTAGATGGATGAATGGTTATTGTAAAAGGTAGAAAACTGGCACTTAAGGCTA